GACAAATGCTGGGACTAGGGGTATATGAGTGGGCCTACATAAGCTACTTTTGTCGGTTAAGCTATGGGTTAAAGCTAGCGTTATCTGTAGGTTTAGGGTTAAGATTAGGGCAACGGCTTAGGTTTATGCTGGGCCCAGTCTTAGGGTTAGAACACGGTAATATTTACCCTTCCTGGAATTATGCACAGTATCACCCTTATTACTTGGGCAGGGAATCCCTATTCCTGTGTTTTATCCAGGGGTCTATGCAAGAAATCCTTACTGAAATTGTATATTAACTCGCGAACCCAAAAGGGATATTTAAGCCTGCCACCACACCCCCCATGCTCGGCATTTGTTATGAGAACGCATCCAGAATAACGCCTACCACACCCTCCCGTGTTGATCCAGCGCATTTACCATGCGGCCCCTGATTAGGAGACGTGTCTATACAATCACACATACTACAACTAACAGCTTCTGCATTCTTTCGGATATGCGTACTTGGTGAGCTAATCGATTATTTTTCCGCACACAAGTCGTTAATTGACATGACGTCACCACCAGTGTCTCGATTGACGTAATAATTACTTACACATTAGGCTCACTATCACTGGAGCAATGTCCACCCGCGCTCTCACCTCATGACCAAGCACTTTGGCCAAAAAAAGTCAAAACGCTGAATAAGGAGGTTGCGTTTTTGTGTTCGCGACGGCAGGTCCATGCGTCCTGCCAACGGTAGTAACGCCCATGGATCTGAAAATGCTCTCTTCGCGTTCGCTTCAATGTTCTCCCCCCCTCTCGGCTTGGTATTTTAAAGCAAAGCAAAGCCACATCACATTATATTTGTTAACGGTATTTCGTTGCTGTTTTTTTTTCCAGCTATGGCCAGTCTCAACCATGTTGGAATAGTGCGTTACTACAGAGCCTGGTTCGAGGAGCCGCCGGAGGGTTGGCAGGAGGCTCGGGACCGAGAAATTCTTCCAATAGATGACGATAATGAAGGGGAGGAGAGCTCTCTCGACAATGGAGGCTTCTCAACGACTCGGAGTGTCGGAACAAAGCCTTCCGGGTATTTTGCCAATTCTAACACGCACGGCGATGGCGGTCATCCTTCAAGTGCACAAGGGTATGTGCTTCCACCGTCGATGCTCTTCAGCAGACTAGCGGTCGAAAAGTATCCCTCGTCTGCGCACTTACCCTCATTAGTTTAATTTATTCTATGATCACCCTATCCCTCTAGATCCCATAGACTTGCCAGTTATTAACAACTGTCTGACTGGATTGATCACTTTTGCTTGATGATATTCGTTGCCACACACTTAGTCAGTAAGCAGTTGCATCCGAAATACAATCGTACCCACTATTGCTTTGACAGACTATCACCGCCCGGTACGGAACTCACTCATTTCGTTGTTTTGTGCCTTGGGATTCACTCTCGAGCCAAGCAGCAACCACTCAACGGCTAGCATAGTATAGGCAGAAATAAATTTCTGACAAAGACAAGGGAGACTGGAATGACCCTTTCTGGCTTAGTAGCTGTCATCAGCCGGCCATACCTAACCTCAGGATTAGCCACCCCCAAGGTTCGAACTCGCGACCTTGTTAATTAGAAGTCCAATGTTCTAGCCACTGAGCTACAGGCTTGTTGCCCTTCCGGGTTTGATCGGAAACATACCCAATGGTAGATGGGCCTTCAACAACAACACAAGGGAGCGAGTGAGTTCTGTGCCAATCGATGAGAGCCCATCTACCATTGGGTATATTCCCGATCGAACCCGGCAGGGCAACGAGCCTTAGCTCAGTGGCTAGAACATTGGACTTCTAACTAACAAGGTAGCGGGTTCGAACCTTGGGAGTGGCTATCCCTGAGGTTGGGTATGGCCGGCTGATGACGGCTAATAAGCCAGAAATGACCATTCCAGTCTCCCTTGTCTTGATCGGAAATGTATTTCTGTTACACATACTGTTGGCAACTCCGGGAACATCAATAAAGCTGTTTGTTGTAGAACGCGCGAACGAATGTCTCTACGTGCCTTAACATGTTTAGGACTGCCGCGTCGCCAACGGTTATCCAGTTATTTGTGGAAGCACCATAATGATCTTGCGCATGCAGAAAGGCAGCCATGACAGAAACTCCGTTGAGTGACTAGTATCGTTTTTCAACGCAAGAGTGGTCGGATCCCCAACAGGACCACAGAGTACATTTTGCCTGTAGTCAGCCCGAGACGCGACTTCACATGCTGTCTTTGTCTTCAGGGTTTGCCTACGAGTCATTGTTTATCCGGTTAGTTGTTTGTGCTTCCATGCTGGATGACCTTGGGGTCGCAACCCTCTGTTATATGAGGCCTGGGCTGTTCATGGATCAGCGTTTGAAGCCCGTTGAAATGTCGGTAGATAAATCCTCGCTTTTGCTGAAATGGCAAAAGGTAGTCTGGGGGACTTAAGTACAGAACTTCAATTGATTTTTGTGCCGCA